AACAACAGACTATCATACAACAACAAACTGTCATACAACAACAGACTGTCATACAACAACAGACTATCATACAACAACAAACTGTCATACAACAACAGACTATCATAAAACAACAGAGTGTCATACAACAACAGACTGTCATACAACAACAGACTGTCATACAACAACAGACTGTCATACAACAACAGACTGTCATACAACAACAAACTGTCATACAACAACAGAGTGTCTTCAGTCAGAGGCTTCTTCAGATCTGTTGTAGGACAGACGCCACAAGAGATCCTTCCTGTCCAGAGCCATCAGCATCTAGAACAACTCTTTAATGAAACCAGGATGATGAGTTACAACAATTAATTTCCCTCTGGGATTAATAAAGTATTTTTGAATTGAATTCAATTGAATTAATCGTTTTAACGTGTTAAATCTTGTTGAATTCAAAGAACTAACACAACTAGTCTAAAAGACTTCTTCAGTCTGAGGAGCTGTATTTAGCGCCGCCTTATAAATAGAACTCTTGTAGTGGATCAACCAGTTTGTTGTTGACATTCAAAACTAGCTGTTCACATGAACAAAGAGGACCATCAGCCTAACAATGGATCGTTAGTTATGTTGTAATGGTACACGTGGGTGTATTGAACCGTGTCGGTACAGCATGTTCAGTTTGGTCCACCTGCGTACCGTTTCGGTTATTTTTTACTTATTAAATTTATTAACGAGAGATTATGCGCCACGGAACTAAAGTTGCTATGCGTGTTTCAGCACGGCACTATTATCTTGCAGCACACGTAGCATTAGCAGTAGGGATGGGGCCGATCCGATCCAGTATCGGCATCGGGCTCCGATACCAGCATAATTTACGTATCGGATTTTCCGATCCAACCTGCCGATATTTCTGATCCATGATGCATGTTGGCTTCAAACTATGGAATGGATTTCCTGAACGGAGGCGTGTCTCATGAACCCAGAGTAATAAGACCCGCCCCACATTCAGGAAATCCAGTTCATAGTTTGCAGCAGCTACAACGTGAGGACTGAGTTAGCAGCACTGTGGCTAACAGCTAACCAACTTTTCATCTAAACATGTCGCTGTGTGGAAGTATTTTACACTAAACACCACAAAACAAGACAGCAACGTGCAATGTCTGCAGAGCCATAGCGCCACGTTAAACCACGGTAAAGTTAGTTTTATGATGGACATTCGAGCTCCAGGGCTTCAGCGTTCTGTTATTTTTGTTAAGTCCGGAGAAGGAAGTCTGATTTCGGTCAGCCACACTCAGTCCCTCCGTCTCTGAGGAGGGACTGAGTGTGGCTGACTGAAATCAGGCTGCCTGCTTCAGATTGAACAAGAAGAAGACGTCGCTGAAACCACGGAGCTCGAATGTTTACAGAGAAGTTGCTAAACTTCATCATGATTAATGACCAACCACTATCAGTTGTAGAAAACAAAGGATTTCACAGTTTGATACTTGCAGTCAAGATCTAGTTTACCCTGCAGGAGATATTTATCAGTACAACAGGAGACAATCATAAAAAACATATGATTTGAAAAATACAAGAAGATTTTATATATATATATATGTGTATGTATATGTATATATATATGTGAATGTATATATATATGTGAATGTATATATATATGTGTATGTATATGTATATATATGTGAATGTATATATATATGTGTATGTATATGTGTATGTATATGTATATATATGTGAATGTATATATATGTATATGTATATATATATGTGTATGTATATGTATATATATATGTGTATGTATATGTATATATATATGTGTATGTATACGTATATATATATATGTGT